GAGGGGGAGGAGGGGGCCGTCGGTATCCTTTCCTCCTCCGAGCGCCGCGGGCGCGGTAGGCCGCCCGCCGCAGCACAGCAGCAGGCCCGCCGCGGCGCCGCAGCCCAGCAGCGGCGCCCGCTCGCCGCCGTCGTCGGTCACCGACCTCACCACCAGCGCCTCCTCGGGGGGCGGACAGAACCCCTTCAGCACGACGCGCTTGAGCCCCAGGCCCCCTCGCGCTGCCAAAAAAACATCAAGAAAAGTGGTTCGCTACTTTTGGCCTCCAGGAGCCCTCACTGGGCCTCGGGACCGTCAAAGAACGGCCCAAGATAAGAAACTGGTCCCGGGGAAGGTGTCCAGACCTCTGGGGGTCGACGTTGTGAAACAAATCACGACGTCGGGGGTATGGGGTGAAAGCTGCCGCGTGTGTTCCACGTGCCAGTCGGGGGGGGGCGCACAGGTGGGGCAGGGACGGAGGCGGGGCTGGGAGGAACACCGCTCGAAGCGCATCCTGGAAGAATGACATCTGATCGTCCAACTGGGCGTGCCCCCTGACCCCACCTTGGGAGAACCTCCCGAGCGGACCCGCCGGGGCGCGCTGCAGACGGTAAGAAAGGTTCACGTTTTCTGCTTCGGCGTTTCGACAGTGGGCGAAAGGGGGGGGAAGGGGGGGGGTCTGGCTCCAGACCTCTGCTTAGTGCGACTGTTTGCAGCATTGCGTCCCATGGGGGAGGCTGCACCTGCTCGAGGCAAGCGCCAGACACAGCCAAGATCTACTGCATTGGGGGGGGGAGGGAGGGGGGTGCGAGGGCCCGCGCCGATCGGCAATACCACGAATGAGCGAACGATCCCAAGCTGGCCGCGTCCTCCCTGCCGCAGCTCTTCGCACTTCCTTATGGTTCGCACCCCCTTATGATCCGCATGTGCTTGTCAAGGCCTGAGTCGGCGATAATGTCCCTTCATGGCCTCGTCGTCGTCGTCGGGGGAGGAGGAGGAGGAAGAGGAGGAGGAGGAGGCGGAGGAGGAGGAGGAGGCGGAGGAGGAGGAGGAGGAGGAGGAGGAGCTCTCTGCGTGCCTCGCCCTGGATCGCTCGACGCGGCCGGGCGGCGCCCCGCGGCGCGCAGAGGCGCGCCGCCGTCGTCGCGCCCCGCCGCGCCGCCGCTCGGGAGACGGGGGCCTGTCCCTGGAGGCGGCCCAGGGGGTCCGAACTGGTTGGGGCCCCAGAAAGCATCGCGACTTTGGGTGATGTAAGACAGGAACACATGTACACATATGTATGTGTAGTCGTGTATGTATGCATGCATGCATGTGTGTATGTGTATGTGTATGTGTATGTGTACGTGTAGGCAGGCGTAGACGTATGTATATAGTTATGTGTGTGTATATATACAGTATGTCTGTATGTACGTATGTGCATAAACATGTGTATGCGTGGACGTATGTTTTGCGTGCAGGTATGCATGTGCATAAAGGTAAGCGTGTATGTGTGTATGTATGCATGCTTGTAGGTATGTATGCGTGCATGCATAGATGCATGTACGTATGCATGCATGCATATATGTATATACGCACGTGTGTATATGTGTATGCATGCTTGCATAAATGTATAGATGAATGTATGTATGTGTGTATGCGTATGCATGGTTGTATACCTGTATGTACATATGCAGATGTGTATACATGGATGCACGCACGCATGCATGCATACACGTATGCATGTACGCATGCATACATGCACGTATGCATCTATGCACGTATCCATGCATGCTTGCACATGTGCATGTATAGTTGTATGTTTGCATGTGTCCAGGTGTGTATGTACGTGTGTATGTATGTACGTATGCATGTATCCATGTATATAAGTGTGGATGTGTCTATGTACGTAGGTTGTGATGCATGTATGCATGATCGTATGTATGTATGTATGTAGGTACATCGGTAATTATGTATGTATGTGTGTACGTATGTATGTGCATAGGCATACATGCATGCATGCATGCATGCATGCATGCATGCATGCATGTATGTATACACGTATGCATGCTTGTTTGTGTGGATGTATGTAAGTATGCATGATTGCTTGATTGTCTGTCTGTGTGTCTGTATGCATGTACGTACACACATAAACACACAATTGCATATACTGACGCACGATTGTGATTGTGGTACGGAAATTTGATGATACGAGTGGGTTACGAAGACGCCAGCAAGGTGTCAATGCGCATGCATTCTTTCTTCCTCCTGCACCGCGTCCTGGCTATTTCCATGTTCCTCCGCCATCGTCACACATCGTTCTCGGAAAAAGAATGGGCATGCAGTGTGGAAGGGGAGGAGAAGGAGGAGGAGGAGACTCCCTCTATGCGCACATTCAACCATGCCTTTCCTCCCGTCATCAGCACATCTACTCCAATGTTGTGGAAGGGAAGGAAGGGCAAGCGCGAGGGAGGGAAAACCAAATCAGCTCCAAATCGGTCACCGACCCCGCCCGGGGTCCACATGGTGCAACTTGTCACCCCGGATCCGATGTTCCAGGTCCTGGATCCCGACAACGGCACCTGGAGGTAGAACAAGCCCGAAAAGACCTTCCCAGAACTTCGAACATGGCCGCCCCTCCTGCTGGCCCGAACCAGTGCTGGTCCACCTCAGACCCCCAAACAGCTCCAAGCCTCTCCGCCACTTCCCCAACGTTGGCCGACGACCTGGAGAAGGTCGTTCTGTCATGATTAGCAATGGAGCGGACCCCGAACCCTTTGGGAGGGGGCCTAAGTTAGGAGGGCCAAAAACATTAGGGATAGGGGGTCCTTTCTGTAGTTGTATTAAACCAAACCGCCCAGAATGGTAATCCCTAGTGCGAAGACGGGGACGTATTTGAGGCCACGTCTTCATCGTGTTAGTATTGAGCAGGGACCGACCGTCTTGGCATTCCTACAGGCCTACCACGAAATTGTCTTAGAACCCCCAAATGTTCTTATAACAACAAATGTTCTTAGAACATGAGCCCGATGCGTTAGAACAAGACAGTCCCAGCCAGACATGTTCCAAGAACATTTCTAGGAAATCGCAAGAGGTTCTTAGAACACTGTTTGGTATGCATATAGGCACGCCAGGACGCTTCGCCACTGCTTGATATCAAGGTTAGGGCTTCTTGTGTCCGCGATGCTCCGGTGCCCGACTCCTCCAGGGGCAGCTGCATCGGCGATGCATCGGGGATGCACCGGCGATGCATCGTCGACGTCGGCGATGCATCGGCGACGTCGACGTGAAGCACAGCGGGCTGCACATCGAGCCGCAGCGACGAGGCATCGGCGATGCGGCGCGATCCTCCGACCCCGTCTGCTCCGGACGATGTGTCTCCCAGGGTCCGACGCGTGTAGACCCCGGAGCTTCGGCGCCTCTTCCTGGTGCTCGGAACTCCTCCCTCTGGTGCTCGGAAACCCAGACGTCCGACGTCTCGATTTTTTCTCGAGACGCCGGGCCCCCGACGTCTCGACCACTTCCCCGGGACCGGTGCTTCATCCCGAGCCGTCTTCGGACGGCCCCGCGGCCCGGCGAGGGCCCCGAGAGGCCGAAAAAACGACGAAGCACCTCGAGTCTCGATGTTCTCGAGGCGCCCGATGTCTGGGAAGCTGAAGCAGGTTAGAGCATCAGGAGGTCAGGGGCTCTGGTGTTCGCGACGCTGCCGGTGCCCGACTCCTCCAGGGGCAGCTGCAGCGGCAGGCGCACGGCGCCCTGCGGCGGGGGCGGCGGCGCCAGGCGCAGCGCGAAGGCCGCGGGGCCCTCTTGAGGGCGGCGCGCAGAGGGAGGGCAGCGAGGGGGCGGAAGGCCTCTTGAAAGGGGCCCTGCTCTTTTTGTTGCCATGGCCTCTCCCTCCCCCTCTCCCTTCGTCTCCTCCTCCTCCTCCTCCTTCTCCTCCTCCACCTCCTCCGCCTCCACCTCCTCTTCCTCTTCCTCCTCCCCCTACTCCTCCTCCTTCTCCTCCTCCTCCTACTCCTCCTCCTCCTCCTCTTCCTCCTTTCCTCCTCCATCTCCTCCTGCACCTCCCCCTCCGTCTCCTCCGTCTCCTCCTCCTCCTCCTCCTCCTCCTCCTCCTCCTCCTCCTCGTCCTGCTCCCTCAAGCAACGCGGCTCGAGCTGCGCGATCCCATTTGGGCTCAAACCAGCTCGCGACCGCGCCTCACGCCTCCTCGCGGCGCTTAGGGGACACCACGTCAGAGTTCGGGATTCAGTGACTCTTCTGTGGTTGGCTAAGTGAGGCGAATTCAATTCAAGTTCAACGTCTCGTCATGGATGGTACTGGTGAGATAGTATCGCGGCCTACCCCTTTCGCACGGTGTTTCTCGTCGGACCTTGAGTTGACGACTCTGCAGCAGCACTGCGGGCCATTGTTGGTGGAATTGGGAGTTGGTCTTCGCGAACTCAATTTGTTCAAACTTTTCCAGTGCCAGCATTTGGTCGAAGCTCCGACGGTCGTTATTGCATCATGTCTGTGCACATCACCTCCAGCAGTGCAGCCTCTATGTGACCTTCTTCGCAGGTATGGCAAGTTCTCGCCTACGCCCAACGAACGGAGGAGCTACTTCGAGGCCATCGCATTCGAGGCCATGGTGGGCCAGTTGCCGTGGGCCACAGTGATTACCCTTTGCAGGCAGACAGATCTTCTGAAGTTCGGCGATTCTCCTTCGGCGGTGTCACCGATCTGTCCTGTCGCGGGGTTTCGTCCGAAGCAGTGCTACCTGGACGAGGGTGGTCAGCTACTGTACCTGGCAGGTGGAGACCGACTCATTGCACGCGGGCTTCGAGGAGGACCCATCTCCCTCGACGCGCATGTCAACGAGCGCGGGTTTCTCGACCTGATCAGCCTGTGTACGGCAGCAACAGTTCACGGCATGCAGGTGCTCTTCGTTGGCGAATGGGATGGCGCTCTCAATTTGACTTGTGGGATGCAGGTGCTTAGTCGTCTTCATCAATTGACCAATCGCCCGTCACGGTCTTTGGTGGAACCCACGGCACTGCGTATCCTCACCACCAAGTTCATGGGAGGTCAGGACCAAGCCTACAGCTACAATGAGTACTACTCGTATGCCACTGATCGGAGGATCCAGCAGATCATGAACACGTACCTCGCACAAGGAGCCAACGGCACATTATTCACAGAGGCGGGCTTTCCACGCGATCAACTCCAGCCTCATGTGTCGGTCAACTCGGTGGTCATGTGGTTCTTCGCTGAGGTTGCGGTTCAGGCCCCAGCCTTTCCAGGTCCTTCGGCGAGCAGCGATGGCGCATAACGTTTGGAGCATTTCAAGCAGAATGTTGGTCTTTGCAGTCGGCTGGCGTGGCAGCTGCTGCGGTGCCGCTACAAATTTAGTGGTTGAATAGCTGAGCCTGGATTGCGCAAGGCAGACAGATTTTATTCATTTGGTCATTTATCTTATGGCATTCTTTTGTTGGTGGTGCAGTCAACTGTGTAATTCCTGATGTGCAATTGGGTGCTTTGGGAGTCAGTTTTCAGTGCTGCCAATGGTAACTCCTTATATGCAGGGTTTGCATCAAGCAGTAAGTTTGACAACTGTGGTCTTACCTGTTGCGGTGCTATTCGTCAACAGCCACCTCGCGGTCGCTGAGGCTCTCATGTGGGATTTCTCCCTCGGTGGCCGAAAGCAACACGGCCGCGGATGTCTCGTTCTTGCTGCTGTCACTCACTTCGTTCGACCTCGTTCTCCTGGGCATGGTGCTTTTGGGTAGTTGAAGGCTCTGGTGACCAGTAGGTCTGCTCTGCAACCTCCAACATTCAATGGTGCGTACGCTGGCTCTCGGCTGATGTACGTGGGCGCTTTCCCTGTTAGCTGTGATAGTCGGTGTTTCAATCCGTATTTTGGTGGAGCTGCATCTGTCTATATCAATGGTGGTTTTGGTGTCATTAATCGGCATCGCTTCTACTTCATGGGCGGTCAGGTGGTGGGCTCCTTCCTCGCAGGGCCGTGCTCCAAGTTTAAACGAGGCCCCGTCCTCCCTCCTCCTCTTCTGAGCTCCGAGGCTGGGTGGGCGGGCAGTCAGAGGGTAGTCCTCGTTCACTCGCTTCGCGACTGGCGTCACTCGCTCACTCCTCCTCCTCCTCCTCCTCCTCCATCTTCTCCCCCTCCTCCCTCTTCCTTCCAGCGAGGCGGCTTCAATTTTTCTCGCCGTTGCAGAGGTCGGTGCCGCAGTTTTGTCAGGGTTGACGGCACGACACGTTTCACCGAATCCGAATGCGGGAGGGCGAAAGCCTTCTTAAAAGCACCCATGAACCAGCCTCGAACCTATCCCCATCCCCAAGTTGGGGGAGCAAAACGCGGGGACAATCTCTCAGGGAGGTGCCCCCAGAAACCGAGGGAATCCTCAAGATCGGCATGGAGTTGAGGCGAGGCCACACGCGGGGATGGGGATGTGTGCTCCAGCTGGCACCCCCTGCTTTCTTGCCATGCTTCTCGCAGGCTGAGCCCGTTGGCGCCGCGCGCTCTCCGCACGCCAGGTGCAGTCGCGCACGCCCCGAGGAGGAGCTCGAGGAGCCCAGGCCTGAGGAGCCCGCGGGGGCCCGGTCTGCGGCCGTGGACGTCCAGGAGGTCCAGGTGATCGTGGAGGGTTTCTCCGAAGGGCTTAGGCGACCCGCCCTCCTCGTCCGCCTCCTCCTCCTCGTCCTCCTCCTCCTCCTGCTCCTGCTCCTCCTCCCCCTCCCCCTCCTCCAGCTCCTCCATCTCCTCCTCCTGCTCCTCCTCCTCCTCCTCCTCCTCCTCCTAGGGTCGCCTACGGCCCCGGGGGAAACCGTGAAGGTGATCGCGGAGATGTCCCATTGCATCGGCTCCGATGGGCTCGTGGAGCCCGGGCCGAAGCCTTTGGCGGGCGACGGGTCCGAGCTGAAGGTGGTGGCGCTGGGCAAAGTTAAGAAGAATAATGATAAGGACAGCAAGACGTGCAAGGGCCAGAACGTGGCGGTCGGCAGCGAGGCTAATCAACTCATCCTGGGGCTCGAGCAGACCTTCGCTACCTTCCACACGGACGGTGCTGGATTGGTCGCCTCGGAGGTTTTGGTGGGGGCCTTCGTGGCCCCCCGGCTTCGAGGCGAAAGAGGTCCGCCAGATCAAACACACAAAACACACACACACATACACACACGCACACACACGCACACACACACATGCACATGCACATGCACATGCACATGCACATGCACATGCACATGCACATGCACATGCACATGCACATGCACATGCACATGCACATGCCATGCCATGCACTATGCAATGCAATTGCACGCACAACACGCACAAACGCACACACGCACACACACGCAACTCCGCGCACACACACGCACACACACGCACACACGCACACACGCACACACGCACACACGCACACACGCACACACGCACACACACGCACACATACACACACACACACAAAAAAACCACACACACACACACACGCAACGTTCGACGTAGTGTGTGTTTTGTGTGTGTGCTTTGTGTGTGTGTGTGTGTTTTGTGTGTGTGTGTGTGTGTGTGTGTGTGTGTGTTTTTTCCCCACAGCTGATGTCGCTGTGCACGGCTCAGGCTCCATCGGGGGTCGTGGCCTTCCTCGAGCTGGTGCAGGGCCTCCTCTGCCACGGCTTCAGCAGCGTGCTCGTGCCATCGCTCGGAGGTCCATTCCCCCTGTGTTTTTTTGTCGGCTTCGTGCGTGGCTTTTTGTCGCCACATGATCAAGGGTGCTCCTCGATGGTCCTCGCCGAAGGAAAAAATGCACACGTCCGAGCGATGCCGAGGTGTTCATGCAGGCGTACTGGCAGTCCGAGGGCTGCGGCCCAGTGGCGCTCCCGTCCTGGCGCCTCCGGGCGGCCCGCGCAGCGCAGCGTGGCCGGCTTTGGGCCCCTGGCCGCGCGCAGTTGCGCACGGGGTGTGCGTGACCGCTCTCTCTCTCTCTCTCTCTCTCTCCCTCCCTCTGAATTCCGGTTGCTTCACAGTGAAGGCATTGGATGAAGAATCCTTGGGCTCGCCATCGCTCGGACGTCCATCTCCCGTGCATTTTTCGGTTTCGTGCGTGTTTTCTGTTTCTCGATGGTCCAGGATCGTCCTCGATGGCCCTCGTCGAGAAAAAATGCACACGTCCGAGCGATGCCAGGTGGATGAGGAATCCAGGGCATGGCCATGGACATGACCGCCGCCCTCATCAGATAGGGAATCCTGCAGGGCCCGAGGGCTCCTGGGCACGTTCCTCAACCAGCGCCCCCACAGGGGTGCTGTGCTGCGCCAGACCTTCCATCGCTGAGCAGGGTGCCCACAAGATGTGTCGGACCCCTGCGTCTCAGAAGGCGCCGGCCCCACACCCACAGGCACGGCCCGCGCCTCCTGAGAGGCAGGGGTGCTCTTTTGAGCAGCCTCCCGCCCTCCCCGCTGCCCCCCCCCCCCCTCTACGCGCGGCCGACCTCCGGGAGCGCCACCGCGCTCATGGACACGACGCTGCGGCCCGCCCTGCTCTGCTTCTCGAGCAGGCGGCCGAACCTGCGAGGAAGAGAGCAGGTGCCGAGGCCGCGGCCCTCTGGCGCTCGAGGCTCGGGCACCGAGGCTTTCGGGCGCTGCCGTCGGCTCTCGGCGGCGACTGCCAGCCGCGGGATGGCTTCCAGCGGCTGCGCCTCGCCGAGAGAGCGCTCCGAGGAGGCCGTTGGGTCGTCCCAAAGCGGCCGGCGGAGCGCCGAGTTGGCAGCTACGCGCCGAGTTCTGACCCGCTGCGGCGAGGGCACCGGATAAAGGGACCATTGGCCGAAGAGTCCAGGGCGTCTGGAAGCAGGCGGAACGCCAAGCCAAGGATATCACCGCCGCCCGAATCCGGTAAGGAACCCACCGGGGCACACTTTTCCACGAACGCTCCCACCGTACCAGTACCGCTGCCCTTGCCTCGGTTTCGGGTTTCGCTTTTTGGGGCCTCCTGGGAGGCCCTCGTCGCCACCGCTGGACTCGCCTTAAATCCTGATCATAACGCACCCCGGGAGAGGTCCAGGGAGTAGCTGTATCAATACCCTGTGGCTTCCTCAGAACTAGGAGAGCCCAGAATCGAACCGATAAGTCGGATCGGCGATCGAAATGCTTCGGATCGGCGGAACTCGGCAGCCAAGTGGGGAGAAGTCGAACCGGCGGAAATCAACAAATTATTAAAGCCCTCACTGAGAAATCTAAGTCCAATTCGGAACCCGAAATCACTTCGAACTGGAATCTGAATCGAAGGAGTCGCAATGAGCCCTGCAGAACCGGCGGCAGAAGGCGCCGTACTGCGCCAGCGTCTCGCGGTCGGCCGCCACCGCGTACCCGAAAGGCATGACGGAGAGCACCGGCGCGAGCCGGTGCGGGGCCGCGCCCAGCTCCACCGCGGCGATCGTCAGGTTGCCGATTGCGCTGGGCTGTGCGACGCACTGCGTCAGGAACGTGGCCAACCTCGGCTAAACGCAGGAGTGACCCCAGGAAAGACTGGGCATCGCTCGGACGTCCACTCCCTGTGCTTTTTTCGGTTTCGTGCGTGGTTTTTTCGCCAAATGATCAAGGACGCTCCTCGATGGTCCTGGCCGAAGGAAAAATGCACACGTCCGAGCGATGCCAAGGAAAGAGTGGCCTCTGGTGCGCGACGTTCGGGGGGCGCGGGGGGGGCGCCAAGCCCGAGCGCGCCAGCCGTGAGAGGTCACTGCGGCGAAAGGTCACTCCAACGTGCATGACTACCTTCGGGGAGACGTAAGACCCGGGTACGGGGGACTCGGAAATCCCCGACGAGGTCGTCAAAAAAATGACGAGGCCGAGCCTGCATTTTGACGAGGCCTCCCGCTGCAGACATCCCACGAAACTCCTCCTCGTCAAAATCCGAGGCGCGGTCGTCAAAAAAGGATGGCGAACCCGAGTCCCGGCAAACCCGGGTCTTACGCTCCCCCGATTACCAGACCACCCCAACCCGGCCCGAAGACCCGAATTTCGGGTTGGGGGGGGTAAGGGTTCCACATGTGTTTTTGCGATGTTTCCCGACCCCCCCCCCACTGGAAATCGGGGGTAAATCTGAGCCTTCGGGTTGGGTTGGGGTGGTTTGGTGGGTGGTGAGTGCAGTTGACAGCCTGCTGCCCAGCTCGTCCTGCGCCTGGCTCTTGCACAGTCGCCGCACGACCTCGAGGCGGCGGCATCCGAAACCCTTCCCCCAGAACCATCGATTCTCCTCGATCGATGGGGGCGGGGAATGGGGTTCGGATGTCGCCACGTGGTCAACGAATTCCGAACCCTGCCCCCGCCACCCACCGAGTTGTCTGAATCGTTGTTCGGCGAGGGTCGGACTCGGATTTCGCCGCCGAACCTCGACGCTGCTGAACGCGTCCCACACGCCGCCGCTCGCCACCAAAAGCCAGTCCCCCGGCATGGCCCGCCACTCATAGACGTCCGGCACCGCGGAGATTTTCTGATTCCCAGGTGGCAGACTAGGATGGTTAGATGCTCGTCCTGGGGGCCTTTCTGGAGAGCCCACTCGTTCCACTCATGCGTCGATGCTGCGTCGAACACCCGTCGATATTTGAGCCGAGCTGGCAGAGTCGAGCTCATTATAGAGTCCAACGGATCCGTCAGGTGGGCCCCCAGGAAGGCCCCCATGATGAGCACCTCAGGATGGCTCTTGAATCTGAAGCCCCCCAGAGCGCGGCTGCACGCCAGCTCCCCGTCTACCCTCGCACCCGCCGCCTCCCCCACCACGCGGCCCCCGGCGGACTCTATGCGCGAGCGCTCCTGAGGGTCGCTCGGCCGGTGGTCCCGCGTCTCCTCGGGGGGGGCGGGACGGGGGCGGGGACAGTTTTTGGGGTGGAAAGGGGGCCCTGGGACACACGAATAAATACACACAAACAAAAAAGTTCCCCATCTCTTCCCATGTTTTCTGGGTTTTTGTCTTCCCCCCGCTTCCCATATGTTCCCTTATTTTCGGGGGAATCGACGATTAATTTTGTCTGTGTGTGTGTGTTGTGTGTGTTGATTGTGTGTGTTGTGTGTGTGTGTTGTGTGTGTGTTGTGTGTTGTTGGTGTGTTGTGTATGTTGTGTGTGTTGTGTGTGTGGTTGTTGCGTTGAATTTGTGTGTGTGTTGTGTGTTATGTGTGTGTTGTGTGTGTGTGTTGTGTGTTGTGTGTGTTGTGTGTGTTGTGTGTGTGTTGTGTGTGTGGTGTGTGGTGTGTGTGGTGTGTGGTGTGTGGTGTGTGCGTGTGTGTGGTGTGTGGTGTGTGGTGTGTGGTGTGTGGTGTGTGGTGTGTGGTGTGTGGTGTGTGGTGTGTGGTGTGCGGTGTGTGGTGCGTGGTGCGTGGTGTGTGTGTTTGTGCGTGCCGTGCGTGCGTGCGTGCGTGCGTGGGAGTGCGTGCGTGCGTGTGTGTGTGTGTGTGTGTGTGTGTGTTTTTCCCCTCCTGAGACAGGGCGGTACAGGTACGGCTGCCCCCCGAACCTCTCGGGTGGTGCGCACTGACCCGGGCTTCGAGGAGAGTCTGGCCGCGGCAACGAGGGCTCTCCGGGACGAGCACGAGTAGCGGCATCGGCACAGTGGACACAAAGGATGAGAAATCCTGGTGTCAGAGATAAGCTTGGGGCACCTTCTTCGTCGAGATTCCTCAGCTCCCTGAGGTGCCATGAGGCATCGGTCGGCCCCCTTCAGGGATGAGGGGGAGGAGGGGGAGGAGGAGGAGGAGGAGGAGGAGGAGGAGGAGGAGGAGGAGGAGGAAGAGGAGGTGGAGAGGAGCGAGGAGTAGGAGGGATAGAGATGGAAGAAGGAAGGAGGGGAGGAGGAGGGAGGAGGAGGAGGAGGAGGGAGGAGGGGGAGGAGGAAGAGCGAGGGGAGGAGAAAGTGGTAGGAGGGGAGAGGAAGGAGGGGAGGGGAGGGAGGAGGAGGTGGGGATGGAGGTGGAGGGGGTGGTGGTGGAGGCGGTGGAGGAGGTGGGGGGAGGAGGGAAAGAGGAGGAGGAGGAGAAAAGGAGGAGAAAGGAAGGATGTTGAGGGTGGGGAGGAGGCAGGGGGGAGGGGGAAGGAGGAGGGGGGAGGGTGGAGGAGGATGAGTGGACGGAGGAGGAGGGAGGGAGGAGAGGTGGTGGAGAGGTGGAGAGGAGGGGTGGAGGAGGGAGGGAGGAAGAGGGAGGGGGAGGAGGGGGGGGGGGGGAGGATTGGTGGAGGAGGAGGGAGGGTGGGAGGAGGGGGGAGGAGGAGGAGGAGGGAGGGAGGGGAGGGGCGAGGAGGAGGTGGACGGAGGGGGAGGGGGAGGGATATGGAGGGCAGGTGGGGGGGCGGTGGGAGGGAGGGGGAGGAGGGGGTAGTGAGGTGGAGGGGGAGGTGGGGGAGGGGAGGGAGAGGACGGAGGAGGTGGGATGGAGGAGGGAGGAGGAGGAGGAGGAGGAGGAGGAGCGAGGAGGGGAAGGGGAGGAGTGAGGTGGAGGAGGAGGAGGAATAGGGGAGGGGAGGAGGAGGGAGGGGGGGAGCTTCGCGGAGGCCACCTGCTGGCAGCTGTTTTCTTTTGCTTCGCGTGCCCTGCCGGTATCTGTGCATCCCAGCGGCTCCTCCTCCTCCGTCCTCCTCCTCTCCTCCTCCTCCCTCCGCCTCCCTCCTCCTCCTCCTCCTCCTCGCCTCTCTCTCCGCTCCTCCTCTCCTTCTCCCTCTCCCTCCTCCTCCTCCTCCTCCTCCTCCTCCTCCTCCTGCCTTCTTCTTTTGTTCCTCCCCGCGGCTCCTCGATCTCGTCGGGGCCGCGGCGCCAGAGCACGGCGCGGGCGTCCCCGCAGTTCGCCACCACCACGCTGAGGCCGCCGCCGGGCCCCCCCTGAGATTTGGACCGGCCCGTCTGCGCCGCGCTGCGGGCCGGATCGAGCGGAGGGGATCCCGGGGCCCGAAGTTCGGGCGAACACGCCCAACTCCCCAGACAGCGGGCGTCTCGGAAAAACCGAGGCGGAAATTGTTCGTCGCTTTCGGCCTCTCGGGGCCCTCGCCGGGCCTCGGGGCCGTCCAAGAACGACTCGGGACGAAAAACCGGGTCCCGGGGAAGAGGTCGGGAGGTCGGGGGCCCGCGTCTCGAGCAAATCGAGACGTTGGATGTCTGGGTCGATGAGATCCAGGCGCCAGGAGCTCGGGGCCTGCAGCTCCCGCGCGAGGGCGAGCGCGGCGGAGCTGCCCTGCGCGGCGGCGGCCCGCGGCAACGCCCTGCGCATCTCCTCTCTGGGCGCCAGGAGCGGGTACGGAAAACATGTTCCGTCGGCGGCGAGGCAGGGCAATCCGCTCCAGCGTGGCAGCGATGCAAGGGCACTATAGAAAGCGAATTGGCCGGCATGCAGGAGGGGGGAGGAAAGAGGACAAGTCTGGAGCTGCGATCGCACCGATCCTCGTCGCACGCGACGAACGCGGCCCGCAATGCCTCGGCCGTCGGCGCTCCCGCGGCCACCGCGTGCCGGTGCAGGCGGACCGCGGCGAAGGCCGCGGCCTCCCCGCCGTGGTGGCCGCCGTAGACGCCGCATGCGCCGAGCTCCTGCCGGGCACACTCTTGCAAGCGCAAGAGGTTGAGCAGGGACCGACCGTCCCGGCATTCCTATAGTCCTACCACGAGATGTTCTTAGAACCCCAAACATGTTCTAAGACCAAAGGTACTGTTCTTAGAACATAAACCCGATGTGATAACATTGCCCCATCGCGACCCTACCTAGAAATTGGAGCCACTAGGAAAACAGCATTAGTTGCTATGCTATGCTGTACTATGCTATGTCATGCTATGCTGCGCAATGATATGATATTCTATGATATGCTGCGCTATGCGATGCTATGCTAAGCTATGCTATGTCATGTTGCGCTGTGCTATGCTAAGCTATGCTCTGTTATGCTATGATATGCTTAGCTGCGCTATGCTATGCTATGCTATGCTATGCTGCGCTGTGCTATGCTGTGCTGCGTTATGCTATGCTATGCTATGCTATGCTATGCTATGCTATGCTATGCTATGCTATGCTGCGCTATGCTGTGCTATGCTGGGCTTTGCTATGATATGATGTGCTGCGCTGTGCTGTGGTACGCTCTGCTATGCTTTGCTGTGCTCTGCTATGCTAAAGCTCGGCAAAGCTAAGATGAAGGTAAGCTAAGCTAAGACAAAGCTGAGCTAAACTGAAGCTAAGCTAAGCTAACATGAAATACGTTAAGCTAAGATGAGATAAGCAACGCGAAGCTAAGGGAACGTCACTGGGGGAACCGCGGGGCGGATGCCGGGGGAACCGCCCGGGGCGGTGAACACTGCCTGGCCCTTTAAGCTTACCGAGTAAGAACCCTTCTAGGCAGAGCCTATGTAGGGAACAAGACAGACTCCGCCAGACATGTTCTAAGAACATTCCGTGGAAATCACAAAAGGTTCTTAGAACATTGTTTGGTAGGGCTATAGGCGAGCCAGGACGCCTCGCCACGGCCTGAAGAGGAGCCCCGCGGCAAGAGCCAGGAAACGACACGACCCGACACGACGACGGGGACGGGAGGCGACACGATAACGACGCAGGCGCGGGGGGGGCGGAGGGGGGGGGGGGGGAGGAAGGGGGGGGGGGGAAAGGGGGGGGGGGGAGAGGAAAGGGGGGGGGGGGGGGAGGAAAGGGGGGGGGGGGGGGCCCGCGGGGGGCGCTCGCGCCTGGCGAGCCCAGCCCCAGGCCCCGCGGAGGCCGCGGGCCGCCCCGGCGCGCCGCCTGCCGCGCGCGGCCCGGCCGTGCCCGGCCGCGTGCAGCGGCGCCGCCCGCGCCAGGCGGCACGGACTCCCGCCGGGCTGCCGAGAACCCGGGCCTTCTGTTGCATCCTCGGGGAAGCTTGTCTGTCCCGTCGCGGCCTTATCCGCGTCGAATCCGTGCCGAATCCATGTCGGCCTCGTCGGATCCGTGTCGGATTCGTGTCGAATCCGCGTCGAATACACGCGAAAGCCGCGTCGAGGCCGCATCGAGACCGCGTCGGGCACAAGAAAAGACACCAATTTGGGGGACAGGCGAGGTCCCCCGAAGATGCAACGGAACAGGCCGAGGCGGAGCCTTTTCGCTGTTTTCGGCGGGGTCCCCACGGCTCGAGGGATGGCGCAGAGAGCTGCCTGGGGCTCCCGCCGCGATGCTTCGCGCCGTTTGAGCTCTTCGCGACGCCCACCGGGTGTCCCAGGATCGAGGCCGCGCAAGGACGGCTCGAGGCCCAAACCTCGGGCGCCTCGAGAAAACCGAGGCGGAGATCTTTCGTCGTCTTCGGCCTCCCGGGGCCCTCGCCCCGGGCCTCGGGGCCGTCAAGAAACGGCTCGGTACGAAGAGCCGGTCCCGGGGAAGTGGTCGGGAGGTCGGGGGCCCGTGCCTCGAAGAACTCGAGACGTCGGATCTCTGGGAATCACCGACCGACAGACAAGAACGGAAGCCCCTCTTTGCCAAGCCAGGCCGTGCCATCCGACGGAGCGGCTGTAAAGTCCGAAGGGACAGGGAAGGGGCTCGCTGTCAAGAAAGCGAGGGAGCGCATGCGAACCCGAGTGAAGGGGCCCCAGGACACACAAACAAGTGGCACGTGTGCCATGGCTCTTGCGCAAAAAGGAAGGGGGAGGAGGAGGATGTGGAGGAGGAGGGGGGGGGAGAGGATGCCAGACATCGCAGAAGGAGTGAACAAAACAGGGCCGCAAGAGGGGCTCCAGAGGGCGAGCGCGAGGAGACTCCAAGGGCCGTCCCCCGCAAGATGGCTTCAAAGACCTTTGACGGGTTCCAGGAAGCCTCCAACTGACGCCCGAGAAGCCTACAGAGGGTTCCAAGGGGAGGCCTCCAGGGTCCAAGGAGGGCTGGAAGAAATTACTGAGCGGACTCAGCTGCTGGGGGCTCGCGGTGCAAAGTGCGCGGCGGCCTTGCGTTGCGAACGCTTGTCCAAGGCAGTCGCTTTGCACGCAGAGTCTGTCGGGTGTATTCTCGGGGGCCGGCTATTCGCCACTTGAATGGGAGCCCCCCCCACAGACCAGACTTTCGGCCCGGGGCGGCGGCGGCGACGACGACGGCGACGACGGCGGCGGCGTCGGCGGCGACGGAGGGGGCACTGGGCGGGCGCTGGAGCCGCGGGAGGGGGGCGCTGAGACGGCGCGGGGGGGGGGGGCGGAGCGGAGGGAGGGTTGCTGTGCCGAAATAAGCGGTTTGGGCGCATGCGGGCCTGGGGGGCGCTAGAGCGCGGGGGGCAGAGCGGACGGCGCGGGGAGGGGGCGGAGGGGGGGGGGGGGTGCTGGTTGCCGAAATTAAAGGGTCGGGGGCGTGAGGGGGCGCGGGGCGGGCGCTGGTGCCGCGGGGGGGCGCTGAGACGGCCGCGGTGGAGGGGGGGGGCGGAGCAGGGGGGGGGGGGGGTGCTGGTGGCCAAATTAAATGGTCGGGGGCGGGGAGGCGCTGGGGCGGGCGCTGGAGCCGCGGGGGGGCGCTGAGACGGCGCAGGGGAGGGGGCGGAGCGGGGGGGGGTGCGGCGCCGAAATAAAGTGGTCGAAGCGGAGGGGGCACTGGGCGGGCGCTGGAGCCGCGGGGGGGCGCTGAGACGGCGCGGGGGAGGGGGCGGAGCGGGGGGGGGGGCGGTGCCGAAATAAAGTTGTCGGGGCGGAGGGGGCACTGGGCGGGCGCTGGAGCCGCGGGAGGGCGCTGAGACGGAGGGGGGAGGTGGCGCTGAGACCGGCGGAGTGGGGAAGGGGCGGAGGCGGGGAGGGTGCGGTGCACGAAATAAGTGGTCGGGGCGGGAGGGGCGCTGTGGGTGCGTATGGGAGCGCGGTGCGGGGCGATTGAGACGGCGCGGGGAAGGGGCGGGGCGGGGGTGGGGGTGCTGGTGGCCGAAATAAAGTGGTCCGAAGCGGCGGGGGGCACTGGGCGGGCGCTGTGGCGACCGCGGGGGGGCGCTGAGACGGCGCGGGGGAGGGGCGGAGCGGGTGGGGGGGTGCGGTGCCGAAATAAAGTAGTCGGGGCGGGGGTGGCACTGGGCGGGCGCTGGAGCCGCGGCGGGGCGCTGAGACGGCGCGGGGGAGGGGGCGGAGCGGGGGGTGGGAGCTGCGGTGCCGAAATGAAGTGGTCGGGGCGGAGGGGGCACTGGGCGGGCGCTGGAACCGCGGGGGGGTGCGCTGAGGCGGCGCGGGGGAGGGGGCGGAGCGGGGGGTGGGTGCGGTGCCGAAATAAAGTGGTCGGGGCGGAGGGGGCACTGGGCGGGCGCTAGAGCCGCGCGGGGGCGCTGAGACGGCGCGGGGGAGGGGGCGGAGGGGGGGGGTGCGGTGCCGAAATAAAGTGGTCGGGGCGGAGGGGGCGCTGGGCGGGCGCTGGGGCCGCGGGGGAGCGCTGAGACGGCGCGGGGGAGGGGGCGGAGCGGGGGGGGGGGTGCGGTGCCGAAATAAAGTTGTCGGGGCGGAGGGGGCACTGGGCGGGCGCTGGAGCCGCGGGAGGGCGCTGAGACGGCGCGGGGGAGGGGGCGGAGCGGGGGGGGGGTGCGGTTTGCCAATAAAGTGGTCGCTGGGCGGAGGGGGCACTGGCGGCGCTGGAGCGCGCTGGGGGACGCTGAGACGGCGCGGGGGGACCGGGGCGAGCGGGGGGGGGGCGCGGTGCCGAAATAAAGTGGTCGAGGCGGAGGGGGCACTGGGCGGGCGCTGAGCCGCGGGGGGACGCTGAGACGGCGCGGGGGAGGGGGCGGAGCGGGGGGGGGGGTGCGGTGCCGAAATAAAGTGGTCGGGGCGGAGGGGGCACTGGGCGGGCGCTGGAGCCGCGCGGGGGCGCTGAGACGGCGCGGGGGAAGGGGCGGA